GGTTTGTGGTATTAAAAATGCTTCATCATGTCAGCCAAGAGGAAACTTTATTATTTAGTATAAGCAGCTTTTTCCTCTAACTTATAAATCATAAGCTTTCCAGTCAAAACCTTACATCTCCTAATTCCCTGTCATTACAAAAAAGCCACGCCCATTTCATCTTTTATTCCAAAATTCCCAAATAAATCTTTAGATGTTTTCTTCAATGTTTACTTTGATTTCCAAAGATGGTTGCATTATTAAACCAGCAATATTATAAAATGTGTTCTTTAACAAATTTAACAGTCAACAACAACAACAGTTGTTGTTTGTTGTGTCCTCTGTTCAGTGTGTTTGTGTTAAATTTATTTATTGTTTTTTTTTAACGGTTTAATCTGAATCCTGCAGACGGACATCATCGATCACAGCTTTGCTCTGGAGTGGATGCAGGACTTCGAGGTTTTCCAGGACGCTCTGAACCAGGAGACCTCGTATGTGAGCAACCTGACCCGGTCTATGAGCCTGGTTCTGGACGAGTTCTACACCAACCTGAGGGTGAGGCATGGAGCAGAAAGCAGTCAGAGCCATGAGGAAGATAAAACACGTGTTTGATAATCTGTGCAGTAATTTCTGGACTATAAGCTGATCATTTTTTCACCAACTAATCCTGAAACCATTTAACTCCAACACTGAACAACTGGGTTTAGTGTTCAGGAAGACGATGATGGTGATCAATGTATTTTTACAACAAAAGGTTGTAAAATTAAGTGTTTTAATTAAAAACATCAGGAGGAGCATTTTACATCTGTTTAGTGGTAACAGGTCAGTAAGAGGACGGGCTGTAAAAGAATATTTTATAGAAGGGGAACCTCTCAAGTAGATGGGCAGATGTTCAAAAGTCACCCTGTGATTATAAAGTCTTTGCAGAGATACTTATGGTGGCTTTTGGCCAAATAGCCCTGATTTTATCACTCAGATTAAAAATAGTGATTTTATTCTGGGTAGGTCAGAGCTTTGTCGGCCAAGCCGATTTATTAAACATCTTTCCAAATGTATGGCGTTCAAGTTTCGTGCAGCTAGCCCCTTCCTGTCTCAAGTTATGGTTAAAATGGTCTGTTTTCAAGTAGAGTTCTCTGCAGTCACTGGATGTCTGTTTATGTGCAATCACTGCACAAATAAATAAATAAGGTAAACTTTTGTTTTATAAAATTTAAAATAAATAAATAATATAAAGACATGCTAAAAATGTATTATAATATTTATTTATTTATTTATTTATTTA